AATCAAATAATTATTATATTAATAAAAACTATATAATTTTTTCCAGAAAAACTAAAAATATAATTTAACTATTTAAAATTTAAAATTACAGTATAATATCTATTATTATTTAATATATTTAGTCTAATTACCACTTTTAAACTTCAATATTGTTATATGCTTTTTTAATAAAATAACAGTTAATATTTATGCAACATATTAAAACTATTATATATAATAAATAAACAAATTAAAACAATATTTTGATACTTACTATCTCTTTAAGCTTTAGTACAACTTTATACCTAACAATTTTTGCATCTGTTCTATACCTTATATTTATTTTAATCATGTGAATTTTTTTAAGGTGTATTTCCAACAATAATAATGCCCAAGAAGAAAATAATTTATCATGATCAACCTGTATCGAAGAGACCTCATAGAAACATGGTCAGTATTAAATTACCCATTAAATTAATTACATTACTTCAATTAATTTTTTTTTTACTATAGAAACCAAAAGTAGTATTTGATCCATCTGATACTCATATACCAAAGAAGAGAAAAAAATATTCTCTTACAAATGAAAAGAATTTAAAATCTACTACTGTAAAAATAACTACAAATGATAGAAGAAAAAAACAAGATACCATAAAGTCAAATGTTTCCCCACAAGATCTACAACTAAATTCGGTAACTGAGGTAACTGAATTATTGGATTCAATGTCAACTGAAATCAATTCTGTAGATCCAATACATTCAACAGTAAAAAGTGTCACTCAGGAATCTTCAAAAATTTGTTTTATTTGTTCAAAAATTCTAGGGAAGGCGGAATTAATTGACTGTCCAATTTGTTTAATTAAAGGTGGTAATAATTTTTATACATAAATTTCATTTCTTTGTTTTTACTACATTTATTTATTTATTTTGTATAGCTCATAGACACTGTTTAATAGTTGATGAGCCCACGTGGAAATTTAAATTAAATTTTTGTCCTTGGTTCTGTAAAAAATGCAGAAAGCAAAATTGTATAAAATGTCTCAATGATGAATCTCAGTCGGTAAAATTAATAATTCCTATTAATAACTATAAAGATTTAATCATAAAATTTCATTAGAGGATACAGCGTCGCTGCATAACTTGTGAAGTTGGATTACATAYCATTTGTTATAAATCATATGACATTAAACCATTACAAAAAATAGCAACTGGTATGTATGTATGTATTCCTTGCATGACTTTGGCTACTCAAATAAACCCAGAAGAAGAAGAAACAATAGTAAAAGCAGAAAAAATTAATATTGACGGTAAAACTATTCAAATAGATTATAAACTATAATATTATATCAATTTTATTAAATATAAATTTAGATGATGTTGAGTCATGCACTTCGAGTATTGCGTCTATTTCATTTGATGAAAATGATACAGATTCAAAAAGTAATAGATCTTATAGTTCAACAGACTATGAAAAAGATGATGAATTTCACAATAATAAAATCCCAAATGTATCAAAATGGACTAAAATTCAAGTGTTTGATTATTTAACAGAGGTTCTACCCCAAGAAATTATTGATAAAATAATTAAATATGTAAGATATTATTTATTTATTTATTTACACTAACATTGTTATAATTTATACAATCTATAAGTTATTATGATAAAGTTAGGCATGTGTTTACCAATCTGCTGCACATTAGGTGTTGAGTGGATCATTATAATGTATATTTTGAGTTTTAATTCAACAATATATCATTGTATATAAAAAATGATTCTGAGTGAAGATGGTCAGTCTATGATCTGTATAATCTCTATAAGTATATTTTATGGTATGTTATTTGATACAGAAATTTCTTTTACAATTTGTATCACAGTAGGTTGATAACAGTTTTGCTAAAAACATTTCATTCATTATATTATTAATTAAAATAGTGTATACACTATTTCTATTATATTATATTATTGTTATTCATTTTTGAGTCATTAAGTTCTTCATTACCACCTTACCATCGAAAAGTGTGAATGTTGTAATCCATGGTGTTAATAGGTAATAGCTTAAAATTAATCTAAATGTTTTAAAAATGTCATTGTGTATTTATTATGAATTATAACAAAATAACTGACCTTGATATTCTTTGTTAAAATTTAAACATAAAATATGTATAAAAAAAAATGTTGGGCTTGGTGAGGAGCAGTGGTTAAACGAATTCACTAATATGTGCTGCATTGTTTGACGTTATAGGGTTCTAGATAGGTTCGGATCAACTGTAACTTTCAAATAAACCCAATTGTTCTAATTGGCTAGAGTAAAAAATAAATCACATCATTGTAAAATCAATACGTTCATCACATTGTTTCACTTAAAATCTAAAATAGGTTACGTTGTACTAAGAAGTATTCTATGATTTTAGGATCTTGATGGTGCTGCTCTATTATTACTTCAACGGACCGATATTGTATCAAACATGGGTTTGAAACTTGGATATGCCTTGACATTTTACAAACAAGTGAGAATTTTA